AGCACCCCTCAGAGCGCATTCCCTGCCCCTTTCCTTGTTCCCCTTCTTTTCTCCTTCGTGTTTTGGAGAGAGCAGTGCCAGGAGATGCAGACTTTCAGGAGATGGAGTTGGATGTCTGTTTCTGAAAGGAGGTGAGCACAGACACTTTTGTCGGCGAGTTAAAGTTGAGAAGCTCAGGTTTGTCACTGATCTCATTGTATATGTAGTAGAAAGGTCACACCCTGATTACTGGGAAGCCATTTCTGCTGTCTCCCAGTTAGAAGTTGTGGGGCAGTGAATCCGGTCACTGCTCCATGCAGGAGGTTCACCGCTTCCTGTGTTAGGAGGAGGCACACCCAGGACATGGGGTGCGACTGTAGCACCCTAGACTTCAGAGCAGCCAACCAGCCAACTGCCACTGGGGAGCCGCAGCCACCATCTCGGGATACACTGCAGCAGCAGGAGCCCACAAGCACGTGCTTGACCTGCAGTAAGTCCCCCTGCAGGGCTTGGGGCCACAGCCCTGACTCCCCAGTGGGTACAAAACTTCTGGGGGTCCTGGGGCCTGCACACACCAGCTGACCCCGTTCTTGCACATGTATGACAAAGCTCCACCAGCTGCGATTAAGTTCTCTTTGGGCACTTGTGTATTTAAGGTGGGTTTCTGTAGCCTCCATACTGGAAGTACAGTTAGTCTGGATACAAACTCCCGGGCTGATTATTTCACTAATTCAGTGTGTTTTAAACACGTGGCACTGTAGACTGGTCTGTATGCTGCTGTTGAGAATCTTAGGTTTGTGTGCTTTATTCTTATTTGTGAGTGATTTGGACATTCTGTCTAGGGTTCCTAGCGATTTTCTCTCTCTGTTTTTCTCGCACTGGGGATTGAACTCAGAGGCACTCAACCACTGAGCTGCATCCCCAGCCCTGTTTTGTCCTTTATTTAGAGATAGGGTCTCACTGAGTTGCTTAGTGCCTTGCTGTTGCTGAAGCTGAGTTTGAACTCGCCATCCTTCTGCCTTAGCCTCCAGAGCCACTGGGATTATAGGCCTGTGCCATGGTGCCCAGCTGATTTTCTCTCTTTAAAGTGTCTGGTTGACAGGTTTCAGTCAATTTTCCTAAGTCAATCAAGTAATTAATTAGTGCAGGTTCACATGTATCTCTGGAAACTTCTCTCCTTGTTCTAGGTACTAGTTAAGCCTTATTTCTATCACTTCCTTCTTAGGGAATGGGCGCCCAGGGCAGGACCTCTCTGCCCCCTCTGTGCCGGCCACACCCTGCTGGCAGCTCTCCCTTCCTTCCGGCCATTGCCGTCACCCCGTTGTCTTCCAGCCTGACCGTACATACTGCTGGGTCTTCACCCTTCCCCCCACATGTTCCAGGACCCCGTCCCTTTCTACTCCTTCTCCCGGGTTCCACCAGTGCCCCATGGCCGCTCCCTGTCCTCCGCCTGGCCTTTGCTGACTCCGGAGGTCTGGTTCGAGCCTTCCTTCCTGTTTAGTGCTTCTTCTTGGGGTACTTCCATCCAGCTTGGGCGCCATGTTTTCTTGTGCGTCTGGTTGACCGTGGGCCAGTTTTCTTGGTGGGCTGCTGAGATGCTTAGCTCTGTGCTCTCTTGAGGGGACACTGTCCATTTTGTAAGGCCTTATTCCTGCATCAGCACAGGGCTCGTGCAGTGGTGCAGGTTCGTCTGGCTCCCTCTGCCTCGGTCCTGCCCTGATAGTCCAGTGGACTGTCGATTGCCTTTGACATGTGGCACTTTGTTTTAATGTTTTATATCCATTTGTAGTCTTCTGTACCTGTCATTTCCTGATTTTTATTAGGGCACCAGAGTTTTACATGATGCTGGGCTCACCTTGACCAAGCCACACCTGCAGGGGTTCGACTTCCTCCCCTGCGTCCTGTCCCACCTTTCCCTGCCTCCTCCTTCCCCTCTGCTTCCTCTGCTCTCCCGACCTTCTCACCTACCCTGTGGCGGCAGCCCTGTGGGACAGCGCGGTGTGCCTGGGAACGCTGTGTCTGAGGACCCTTCATTCCATCAGCGCCCTGGGGGATCTTAAAGGGTTGGAAAGGGAGATCCATCAACTCTGTGTGGGAGACAGAGCTCCTCTCTCCCGCAGGAACTTGCAGGTGGGCAAAGCACAAGGTCTGCAAACCCCTTTGGCCTGTTTCAGTGCAATTTCAACAGAGCACTGTCTTAAAAAGTATTATTAAGAATGACTTAAAAAGTGTCACTAAAAATCCAGGACAATGGCTAATCTTGTGGGACACTGTGATAACAGGCACAAACCAGAACTTTCTCGGGAAAAACGGGATCTTTGTTACCTGTTTTAGTCAGCTCTTGCTTTGCTGTGACAGTGTGGAGGTCTCCTGCTGGGGGCCTGCCAGGGGCAGCACCGGGGGGCCCAGGAGAGAAAGGTGCGCGCTCACAGAGGGTCGGGAGCAGGGGGGCCTCAGGGAAGAAGCCCCTTCAGGCGGCGGGACGGGGTTGGGAGTGGAAAGAGCTCCTCCAGGAGTGAGCCAGTTAGTGGGGGAGGAAAGTCGCCAGCTCCACCAGGGTCCCCGGCTCCAGGTACTCGGGTCACCTTGGCCCGGTCGGCCCCTCTGCCTTCAGGCCACCTCAGGGTGGGGAAGAGAAAGAGGAGGGGAGGGGTCCAGGCCCCACCGTCCCCTCAGCGCCCTCCCCCCTGACCTGAGACCCCCATGTCACCTGGAGACCCCTCCACTTCCTGAAGTGCAGGCTGGGGACCTCGGGGGACATGTGGTCCCAGCCACAGCAGCTGGCTTTTGTGCAGTGGAAAGGACCACAGGCGATGGCCAGATGGAAACTGTTGTCCTCCCTTGTTTATGCTCCGTGAGCCTGGGTCCAGCCGTCTCCAGTGTGGATGACAGACGTCTATGTCAGTTGTGGAGACCATGTTCTGCCTCGTTAGGGTCTTGTTCCTCTTCATAAAACTGTTGTTATTAACTGAATCACCATTTTCATGCACACTGACTCAGAACATAAATAAATATCGAAGGACATCACCTCTCGCTCCCATAGCAACAAATTAAAGACAAAGACTGTACCTGGAGTGTGTCCTTCCTGACGCACAGGCTCCTGTCAGCACACAGCTCTTGGTCTCTCCTGAGGAGGGCGAGCGCCCGTCCGCCATCGCTGGGAAGCTGTTGGTTCTGCACCCATGGGTTTGGGCAGGGGTGGAGGAGGCCGATTTCCTGGTGGGTTCTGGGTTCGGATCTGGGGTTTGGGCTGTCTGGCAGCTATGTGTGAGCACTGGAGGGTTCTGAGTGCAGGAGTCACACAGTGCTCGCAGGAACTGCTCCGTGGGGTGTGCAGGTGTGGTGTGCAGGCGACAGAGGGACGTCAGGTCACCTGCAGCCACCGCCCTAGGGTCCAGGTGTTCTCTTCCCAACTCCAGGTGTGGGTGAGAGGTCACGTTAACAAATCCGTGACACGTTCTAATTCAACTTTTATTGGTGGCCAGGAAAGTGATGGAAACCAAACTTAACACAAACTCCTCTTGTGGGAATTCAGGCATTTCTAGCCTGATTTATTTGGGTGGCTCCTTTTCTTCCTACTGACATTGCTGGGAGATATGTTTTGGAGACTTGGTAGGGAATACTGCTTCTAAAAGAAATCCTAGCGCCACGTCCAAGAAGATCACAGACAAGTCCACAACTGAGCTGTTAAAGGGCGGGCCCTCAGGACCAGGGTCAGGCCCTGTTCGTCTGCTCCCAGGCCTGCTACATGGGAAGTGGGCAAGAGGGGTGCAGCCTGAGCAGGCAGAGGGCCATGCTGTCTCCTGGCCCCAGGCACTGATTCTGCACTGTGCATCGCCGGCCTTAAGTACCACACAGGGCAGTGCTGACCACGTGGCTGGGACTCAAGGTGCACGGCACACTGAGACTGCAGCCATCATCCCTGTCACCTGTGATGCTCAGCTGCGTGGGGTTCCACTGAGTGCTTTTCATTTTTTCCATGCAACACACTGTTTAGTAAACTCTTTACAGAACTACTTGAAGGGATGATGTCTGCTTTATATCGTGACCTTTTATTGTTTGGGGGACACTAAATGCTTTCCACACAGAAGAAAACACTAGTTGGCAGGTCAGCAGGATTCGAGCATCCCTGACATGAAATGGGAAAATGCACCATCACTGTATGTCACGGATCCACGGCTGGAAGCCCCGGAGCAGCCTGCCAGCAGGAGCCCTTGTTTCAAGAGCCTCAGTGAGATGCAGAGCCACTGTGTGAGGCTCCTGTGAAAGCTGACAGTAAAACCCGAGAGCACGCAGCCTCCACCTGCAGGGAACCAGGCTGGAGGCCTCTCATCCAATCTGACCAAATCACGGGGGTGGCTCACTGGGTTCCATTGCGCCAGGAAGGATTCACCCTTCCTGCCTCTGAAATGCCACTGGTCCTCCTCCGGGTGGCCCCTCTTGCTCGCTCAGCAGTGCACGTGGCAGTGGCCGTGCTGGACGGTGACACCAGGTGCCGGGCCTCCTCGCAGGAAGAGGTTGGCCCACGTGGTGCCGTCCCTGCAGGCCTGCGGCCTCTCCAGCTCCGCCTCTGCAGCTCCGCTCCTCTCTGGCTCTGTGTGTGCCCCAGAGTCCAGGCAGCATTTGTTTTCATGGGAAGCTCTTCCTGCTTTCCCACGTCCTCCCCAGCCCTCCTGCCTCTCCTCCCGCACTCCTCCTCTCTCCACTTCCCCTTCCTCCTCCTCCTCTGTGACTTTCAGGACACTGTGCACCTGAGAGGTGTGCACCCCGCCTCCCGAGAGGTGCGGAATGCAGGTGGCCGCCTGCCACTCCTCTGCCGGAAGCCCTCGTGGCTCCTGCTCCCCAGGAGCCCCAGGGGTTTTGCAGGGCTCTGAAGGGATGCCCTTTCCTGGGAGGTTCCTAGGATCCGCTCCTCTCCTTTAGGTGTTTCTTAGAGACCTCGCCGTTTCCAGGAGGATCTCGACTGGCCACTCTGTTTAATAATGTAGCCCATTAGTGATCCTTCATCTCCTCTGTTTCAGGTTCTCCTAACTTTAGCCAAGATTCAACCTGCTGGACGTGCCCTTCATTACTGCATTCACTACCTGTGTCCTGAGCTGCAGTGCGGTTCTATAAGTATGCGGCCAATATTCGAATTAATGAGGGCATTCACACTGACCTCGTGAGGCACTGGAAATGGTATCCAGTGTTTTCCCCAGTTTAGAAGCATTGCAGAGATCACCTGCCCAGGTGTTGTGCTCTGTCCACCCCACACACCTGCAGTCACCAGTGGTCATCCAGGTATAATTCTGCTTTCTGCATTGTATTTCCTGTATGCTTATTTTAGCTTAACTTCACAACATTGTCCCCACTACAGGATACCTCAACACCCATCATGAAGAGACTACAAAAATGTAGACCCTTTGGATGTAAAAGCTATAAATTATGTGCTATTCAGTATGTGAGAACCAAGAGTCGGGAGCTGCGCTTGTCCCCTGGTGGGGCGGCATAGGGGTCATCCGCCCTGTGCATGTGTTCAGATGCATGTGTGCACACAAAACTGGGTCAAATTTAGTAAAAGGAACATCTACCCAGAGCTCACACAAAAGAAATTGAATTTTTTTTCCATTTCCCGTGTCTCTTCGAGGGTAACTAAAGTTAATTCTTGAATTTTTAATAAGAGATTGTAATGACAGGATCTGTAATTCCCTTTCTTCCCTTCTACACAAACCTTATCAAGTCTCCTGGTTTCAATTATCACCTCTATTTGTATAATTCCCCAATCTATTTTTCAATCTTGACCGCTCTCATGAACTCCAGTCTCACATTTCTAATTGCTGCAGGGTGTTTCCATGGGGGAGTCAGCGACTCCACAGACCCCGGCCCCAGCGCCCCCGCCTCCTCCATTACCAGGGAAGAGGAAGGGCTCTGTTTAGCCGTCCGTCCGTGTCTGGTTAGACCACCAGGCCTCCCTCTCCTCTCCAGACATTTGTAAGTGGCTGTGGGTTTCCCCTGGGCCCGATGCCCTCCGAGTTCCAGTCGTGCGTCCAGCCTGCCTTCATCTCCACCTTCCATGGCCACATAGGATAGCGCTAATATTCCGTCTTTTCATCTTTGCCCTCGTAACCACCTCCTGAGATTCATCAATCCAATTTGTTTTAAATAAAATGCATGACTTTATTCATGCTACACTTTGGTCAGAATTATAAAACATTGTTCTTGGAAAAGTTCCCAATTCTATGGGAAAATTAAAAAAAAAAATTCCAGCCTTATCCCTTTTTAATTTTAAGCAAAAATTTGTTCCAGCCTGTAAGTTAATTCACACCATTCTCCAAACATGTCCAGTCACTTCCCATCTTGCATCATGCTGTGGTTTGGGTGTGACTTGATGTCCCCCAGGGTCCCTGCGGTCCTCAGGGGGGCACTGTTGGGAATGAGGGGGTGTGGGGAGATGGGCCTAGTGCAGGTCCTTAGTCCCCTGGTCCTGCCCTGGAAGGTAGCTCCCCCGGGACTCCACCCAGTCTCTTCCTGCTGGTGGTCACCATGCTGGGCCAGGACTCTCCATGCAGCTGAGAACTGAGCCAGGGAGGCACCAGGCCCTGCAGCCTCCAAGCTGAGAGCTACATCTCTGTTTCACAAAGAGCCTGTATTAGACAGTTTGTTACATGGGGAAAGCCAGCGCACATTTCTTCCTTCATCAGCTGCCTAGTCCCAGCCTAACCTTGGGGCTAGGCTGAAATTGCATTTCTGCAGTGAATTCCCCCTGAGGACCCTGACCCGTGATGACGTGGCACTCTCGGGATGTCTGGGATAGTCTTGGGTCTGTGCAGGGGGTCCTCCACCTGACATTTCGCATATCTGCAAAACAAGAGTAGGGTCACGTAATGTCTTATATTTACGACCATGCAGAATCAGACAAGCATACCACATGTCACATTTACATAATTGGCCTGCAGTTGACTGTTTCTTAACTATTTCTTGTGGCCATTGAACAATTTAATCTCCCAACAAGTTCATTAGAGAGACTGAGAGACCATGATTATGCTTCTCTTAGCACCACAGTTCTACAACTAGAAAGGCTCTGATGAGTCCAACCTCAGGTCTATCTGCCCCCAGACAGGATCCTCGATAAGACCAGGCGCAGGTCACCAGGGAATGCGCTCCTCCAGGATGTCCCGTCTGCAGGGGGGCCACCCTCCAAGGTCTTCTCAGGGTGCTTCTCCCGAGGCCCGCTCAGGAGAACGGCCCAGTCAAGTTCTCCGGGCAGCAAGCCTGGTGTGGGAAGCAGTGCTTCCTCTCCTCCACAACCTCTTTCCCCCTCCCCTTCCCTATCCCCCTTTCTTCACACACATCCCGCCCTGGCAGGACTGTCGGGGCTGTGGGCACTGCCACACTGTCAGCCAGTGCTCGTGCGCAGTTCTGAGAGGCCCGGTCTCTGAATGCTCTGGCCTGAGCGGGAGCTGCCCACGAGGCGGGGGTCCAGCAGCAAGAGGAGCTGGCGACCCACCCCAGCCCCTGGGCCTGGTCCAGGTCTGCTAGAGCGCACGGAGCCCAGGTCTGTGCAAGCAGAGGCCAAGGGCTGGGAGGGGTCACTCAGAGGTTACCAAGGGTGAGAGAAGTCCTGGCAGCCTGGGGAAGGCAGCCAGGAGGACCTCAGAAGGGGCAGGAGCCAGAGAGGAGTCAAGAGGAGGCGCAGGGGCGCAGCCGGATAGCGGACTGGCACAGGCGGAAGCCGCTGGCTGCAGCGAGGCCCGATGCAGGCAGGACATCAGCCCCAGGCCATGCCCCTGGACACCACCCACTCCCGATGCCCACTCCTCTTATGACCCACGTCCACAACAGGCTTTGCGTGCCCTTCCGCAGGAGGGCCTGCATTTCCCCAGGCGCTGTCCCCTGCTCCTGAAAGCCAGGGCCTCAACTGGTGCCTTCTCCCTCAGAGCCCAGCAGTTGCATCCAGAGCTGTCGCCATTGGGGGCTTTCCTTACAAACTGTTTTCTGCTTAAAAAGTAGCACAGAGTGGAGAGGAGCAAACGGAGTCTGCCCCATCTGGAGGAGAGGCTGCTCCGGGTGTGAGAGGCTGAATGTGCGCCATAAAAGACCACCAGACCCTGGGATGGAGAACAGTTTTCTGCCTTAAATTCGGGACTCGGGAGAGGCACAATTGCATGCCATCGCAGTTCCCGAAAGGCCCAGAGGAGGAAGGGGACGATGTGCTCAGTGCATTGACGTAGCTCTGTTTTAATTTTTGGAAAGTCTCCTCCAGACGGTAAAACAGTGTCGGTGACATCACGGAAAGCTGCCCTTTGACCTTTCTCTGATCCTTTCCACATGGCCCCTAAAACCTGTGATGAACACTCTTCCTCTGTGCAGAGAATCTGTTTGCAGAGTGCTGTCTGGGCAGAAAGGAAAGGAGGAGAAGGTTTCAAGAGAGCCTGGGGCAGCCTTCCTAGGTGGACTCCCTGTGCCTGGGCCTCGGAAGGTACTTCTGCATCTTGGAAGTTTGCTGAGCGACTCTGACCCAGAAATTTTCGTATTTTAAAACTGGCAGAGGCTGGGGATGTGGCACAGTGGTGAGAGCTTGCCTAGCATGCACAAAGTCCTGGGTTTAGTTCCCGGCACACACCATAAAAAAGAAAACTTCAGATAAAACTTGTGGGAGGAAATGTATGTTGACCATCTCTGAAACACGGTGATTATGAGAAGCCCCCCACACACACTGACTCAGGAGGTCTCCAGTGAGAATCAGGGCAGTTTCAGGTCTGCACAGTGAAGCGGACTCTTAATCTCTCTGGTTGCAACTACGGGTCCTGCTTCCTATTGTGTCCCTAACCTGACCCGTTGCTCCTGACACTTTAGGACAAGGGCAGTTTTACAGTCTGGCCGAGCTGCGAAATTGGCACTGAGTTTCAAAAGTAAAGAAAATGTCACTTCATTTTCCTCTCTAAGATCAAGAATCTGAAACACTGTGGATGTGTTATGTGTGTCTACATTTGTGAAGGAAAACATTCAGTATTTATCTGTTTCCAACTTGCTTCTGCGGGAAGCAGTGGAGACACCCCATCTTATTAATGTGTTGTTGATGTCCGTGGTAAACCCAGACTCCACAGTGGCCCACATCCCACCTGCCAGCAGCAGCACCACACAGGTTCCACGTGGAGGTCGGAGCTCTGCACCTGTTTGGCAGGACTCCCTTTCTGTTTACCAGCAGAAGGTGCCTTTCCCCTGGCCGGAAGGACAGCACTCCGGCCAGCCTGCAGCCCCAGCTCCTCCTGCTGTGCTCACAGAGAGGCCAGGCCAAGCCCTCCAGTCGGCGGCCGCACAGCACGGCGGGTATGGGCAGAGTTGAGCCAGCTCAGGGGCCATCTCTGCTGGGGTCCCTGGGGAGCGGAGCTCTCTACACGCCCCAGGTTGAGCCTGAGGAAGCACCATTCCTCCCAGTGAGAAGACAAAAATGTTTTATTTGATTTTTAAATATACAAAACTTTGGGGAATAAATTAAATAGTAAAATATGTTCACAACAAAACAGATTTTGGTAATTATATTTATATAAGAAAATACATGTGTGCACTGATTTCTGTTTTGCGCCCACACCCACCGTGTGTGGGACCTACCGTGACAAGAGTCTACCAGTTGCCTGTGTTCCCAGGTCCCCCTCCACGACACTTTGGAAGCTGGCTCAGAGTCGGGGTGTTGGAGCTGGGCTGGGTGTGCTCTTGTGGCTCACAGCTGCTTCTGCGTGGAGCTGATGTTTCTCAGGAAGTTTCACGAGCTGGCAAGTGCAGAGCTGAGATTCCGCCCGTCTGACTCAGAGGCTGATAACCTTACACCCCACCGCTTTGGCAGTCCATCACAGGCTGCTTATTTTTAGTAGATAAATGCTGTGTATATTGAGATATAATTTGAAGTTTTAATCTATATACATTGCAGAAAGAGTCAATCAATTGAACTCACTAAAATATCCACCACTTCTCCATATTAGTTTGTTGTTGCAGCTGTGACAATGGTTAAGCCTGCTCTGTGGGGTTTGGGGGTTCAGGGCATCATGATGACTGTGGTCACGAGGCAGTGGGCAGACTGCTAAGCTATTCCTTTGCCAGCATCGCCCACCACCCCGGACTTTTATTGACCACCTTTCATTCTCTGCTTCTGTGGACGGTGGGATGGACTCTGGGGATCCCCATGGAAGGGAATCTGGTCTCCGGGCGCCTGGCGGCTGCACAGAGCACAATGTCTTCCAGCTCCACTCTTGTTACCACTGCAGGATCGCCTCCCTCCCAGAGCCAGCTGTCGGGGCCACAGGCTTTCGTCCTCAAACCAAAAGGCAGACTTGCTACCCTTAGGCCGTGTCCATGTTTGACCCTCCTTGCCTCCACCTGCTCCCCCACTCTGCCCAGCTGGCCGCTCGTGGCTGCCCGGCTGCACAAGACACTCCTCCGTGCAGAGGAGCTCTGTGCTCCTGCTCGCCCGTCCTTGACGCGGCTCCTCCCGTCCCGTCTGCAGTGCTGTTTGCTGTAGTTCCAGACTTAACATGGAACGTGGATCTTGACACAAATAAGGCAGAACTTTGAAGTTTCACAGAGCCATC